TATAAAAAAAGACTTCATTTGAATGACCGCTTCATAACCTTTAACACTTCTTCATATAGGGTTCTTGCAAGTGGCACGGTTGTGATCCTTGCCACCACACCTCTTACAAGTCCTCACCTTGCAACCAAGCATTCCACTCTGCAAAGGAAAAACCATACATTTTAACCACAATCATTAACATCTAGCGAGCAAAAAGTTAGTATACTTTCATAGACATGACTTAAAATTGTCGATATACAAGTAGTACTGTCAAAACGAATGCCAGACATACTTTAAATTCACCCCTTGATAATATTCTGATCTTCTTTGGCCTACTTTGAGGATGCCTTGTGTTGAGAGGTGCAAGTTTGGGTGAGGCAAGTGTGTCATCTTCAGGTGTAGGGTTGGGACTTTTAAACGAAATCGAATACCCAAACCGGATCTGACCCAATATGGACCGGTTCAGTTCGCTTTTGGTATATACAATTTTATCCATTGGATATTTTTGTAAATAACCATGGGTATCGGTTCGGGTTCGGTTTTACCCAAAACCGAATGGGTACCCACTTTAAACCGAATACTATGTAAAATACATAGGACTATATTTCATGGGCATCGAACTCAGGTTGTTTCAGGGAAATATAAAGCCCAATACAACTGGAGTACCTCAACATTGTTGTAATAAAGTACATATTATTGATATATATACAATTTCTATTTATTTTTCCTTTTAAAAAAAATAAAAAAATAAAAACATAATATTTTGGGTTTACATTGGTATAACCGAACTGACCCGGAACCAGTTGGAACCGATCCGAAACCGAACCATAAGTCGATCAAGTACCCATTGGATATAGTTTCTAAATAACCGATTTACCCGGAACCGAACGGATCCTACCCGGAACGGATCCGAATACCCGAAGTCCCAGCCCTGTTCAGGTGTTGCCGCCATTTCCTCTCCAGCGGGTTAATGCTCAAAAAGTATGCTGCTGACCAATTCTTTCTTGATAGCTCTTCACACACAAGCTCATCAAACTTACGGTTAGAGTGTATTGCAGCAGCGACAGCATGGCCACAAGGAATATGGAGCATAACAAACTCCAGACAGCTACATGTTTTTCCCTCAAGGTTGACACAAAAAGGAACTCCCTCCTTTTAACGCACCTAGACTCAGGCTTGCTTATGTGACGGACCAAAAACCATGATGACACATTGAAGTAATGAGATATGAGCTCCTCCACCTTCGAAGTCACTAGACCACCATAATTCGCTGATGACTCACAGTGCACAAATAACCAACCCATAAGCATCCCTCTAATGTACTCAACCAGAGCCACAATTGAATACTCGCTAGCCTCAGCAAGTGTTGCATTGAGCGACTCTGCCACATTGCTAGTCATTAGATTGTAACACTTCTCTGAAGAGTGCGACCTAGTCAGTGCTCAAAACCGACCCTTAAAATATAATCAGCTCAGTTTATGCCAATCACCTTGAACTCGTTAAAATGCTTGTAAAAGTCGCAGACACGATATGCTCGAGCTGCTTTTGAGACTAGGTAGGCAAAGTGTTTCTTCTCAAACATACTAACAAGGTTTCTCTGGATATGAAGGACGCAAGCGTAGTGCTTAAACATAGGATACACCTGCAAATCTGTAAGGAAACCACTCTTTATCAAATTGACCTAACAATTGAACATCGCCCAAACAGCCATTATGAAGGTTACTCGGTATTTGTACTACTTATCAGTTAACATTGTTCTTATCTAAGGAAGAAAACTTATCTATAAAACATGTATTTTACGTTTTGGAGACCAGCATATATAGATTGTTGCCTATCTGAGATGAAAACAAGATCGTACCCATCAGCTACAATGTCCGATAGTTTCAGGAAGAACCAGCTCCAAGACTGGTCATTTTCTCCATCGACTATAGCAAACGCTATCGAAAAAAATCAGGTAATTGGCATCTGGTGCACTCGCAGTGAGAAGGTATCCACTGTATTTCCTCTTAAGGTGTGTCCCATCGACAACAATGGTCTTTTGCATGTAACTATACCCATTAGCAGATGCCACCGAAAGAGAGGAAAAATATATTTTAAGCGCTTGAGAGCCTCTTCATTGTTGTTTCGATGGCTACCAATGTGCTTGGGTTTGCCACTGCTAGCTATGACAAGTAAGAAGGCAACATCCTTTAAGAGTCCGCTGTGTTTCCAAGTCCACGCTCCAATGTTATCTCTCTCGATTTCCAGATTATCCAGTACGATATAAGTACGTGATGGTAAGTCCGCATGAACTCTCTAAGTGCACCTGGCCTGGGACCAGTCCCCCCACTGCCAAACTTGTTTTTAACCATTTCTCCGATAAGGTTCAAAGTCGCATGCCTCTTGAAATCACCACGCTCATCAACCATGCAATTATGTCCCTTATCCAGTCTCTTTATTTGGAACAGAGGACACCCCACAAACTTAGATGCTTAAACCCTCCACTTACACTCACTCTCCCAACATACCAGATCCGTTTTACTAGGCTTAGACCTACGACACACGAACCAGAACTTTTTGACCGAAGTATAGAGAGACATGTGAGTCTTGAAAGCCTGACGGTCCATGAAAACCTGCCCGAAAAACAGATGCTTCTCTGCTTCCTCTTCCAAATCTGTTAACATTAAAGAGTAACAATTACTAATCAAGAAAATTCTACTAGAAATGTTTGATGTACAAGTAACACCCAACTATGTATCAGAACCGCTAACAAATTATGCTTTTCGATACATAGTACATGTAACAGCTAAGACCAAACATTAACGCACCTTCATCTGTTGTCTCTGCATCTCGAATTGGATCATAGAAGTTTGGGTTATACATTAAAGGACTATGGTGTCCGCTCTAGTAGCTCCGCTTCTTCTTACCTTCGTTTTCTTCGCACATTGACATTGCTACCAATAGTAACCATCAGCCTAGTTGCTGGCAGCTCAATCCTGATCGATATGAAGAGATTTACATCCCCATCCTCTTTAACATCAAATGGAGGGGGCGATAGCTCTCCAGGCACCTTTATCCACTCTGGGAATTCGTAGGTCAGAATAACAGCGGTTTCCAAACCAACACTGTAGGGTGTTCTTACAAGATCCATGACACTTGCGTAATTCTAGTTCTCATGAACCATGATTTCGTATTTACGCTATGTTGGATCTTCCAAGAACAGCCACCCACATTGACCTACTTGCTCCCACACACCAATAACAAGTCTGCAAACATAGAAGATATTAATTCCTCAACCAAAACTGACAGCCTCATTCAAACATCAATAAAATTTGTCAAAGTGATGTAATGCTTATAAATGTTAACAATTCCAGGCGATTTTTCAATCACGCTAACAAATAAGAAATTTAATGCGCAGAAAAACCAAAAGAAAGTTACCTCAAGCACAAGGGATAACAACTACCGTTAAAGAATCTTCGTAACTGCAGCAATCTTACTCTAATAGGTTTGTTTCTCTCTTTATCAAATCTGCTTCACGTTTATGTTTCTCTAGAACTCCACTAAATACAGCAACGATACACGATTTGGGGATAACTTCTAAATCCAGCCATTATACGATACACAGAGATTTTGATTAGACAATCCGTTGGTACTCTACACATTGAGTAGGGGTTATTGGTTCTAGTATTATAATGGATTTAAAAGAATTCTTGGATTTTGAAATTTTTGGGAAATCCATTGATTTTGAAATCAAATAAATATATTTTAGAATCAAGGATGTAGATTTAAGAATCAAAATAACTGGATTATTATAAATCAGTCAAATGAATTTGTAATAGATTCAGTTTTGTAATAAAATAAAGAAAATAAATACTCTTGCAAATAGTATCGAACAACCCAATATGAAACTGAAAAGTTACAATGATTTTGCAAAACCGCAATTAACCACAATTTTTCAAATATTTTACTTTTAAAACATTTCTATTCAAAAACATCACTAACCAAACTTTCCAGTCCACTAAGAACGTAAATTAAGTCAAGATCAAAATTATACACACCCAATACTTTTTGTGATATATCACTATATTAGAAAATATAAAATTAGAGAACTTTCAAAAGTGAACGTGAATTTTTGCTTACAATTTGATGATACTATGAAACATATATATAGTTACCACACTTATACGTGAATGTATCATATATACTTGTTAGTGCTTGTTATAATTATTAGAAGGAACGTGCCAATACATATATAAAACTTGGGGTACAAAATATTGTAAAACCCAATATTAGAAATCTAACAAAATAACAAGGTTCACCTCAGTATTTGGTCCTTTGTATTTTTAACTTAAAAACACTCACAAATCTATTCAAATCCAATTTTAAATCAAATCCTTAAACAAATCATTATTATTGAATAACACTTGATTTTAAAATCTATATTAAAATCATAGAACCAATAACAGTGAATTTGAATATAGATTTTAAAATCATATAACCAATAACAGTAGATTTGATTTGTATTTTCAAATCCATTAAAATATACAAACCAATAACACCACCTAAATCAGAACAATTAGCATTTGAGGCGGATAATAATCATAATGTACGGACCCAATTCTTTTTTCTTGCAAAAATGTATAGACCCAACTTTTTTTTTCTTACAACATAGTATTTACTTAATTTCCTTATGGATTGAGTATATTGGCCCAATTATCTCTTTTTCTTATGTATATGGAATCAAGTTTCTCATTTAAATTTTTACTGACTTTTTCTTTATAAATATTACCATTCTATGTATTTTATTTTAACGTATAAAAACAAATATTAACTTTTTGTATTGTGGTTTCGGATTATGCTTCACAGTCTACACCGTGGTACAATATGATCGCGCAAAACCATTTTGTGCGACACACAACACAATGTAGCAAATATAACAGATTTAAAAATCACATTGAAAAAGACTACTGTATAAATAAAAAAAATTAGATATGAGGAGAGTTGATTCTACTATAATACAACCTTATTCTAGTATTTACCAAAGCGAAACCATATAAAAATGACAAAATCCTATATATATAAGTTGTTCCTATTAGTACTATCCATCAAAGCTAATTGACCAATACAAAGTTTGATATAAATCATATCAAAAGCTTCAAAATATTAGAATGCTGCCTTTGTACATTTGAGGGGAAAAAAACAAAAAGGAAAATTGGAAATTTCATTTACTTCGTCTTTTAATAGATCCTATGGAAATGTCAATCTCAATAAGATTATCTTCTTCTTCCATAATCACATCATCTATCTCTTCTTGTTCATCTTCACCAACCCTAATTCTCTGTCGACTCTGATTAATGTTCCTCCTTGCCGCTATAGTTTCTGCTTCTTCATTCACAAGAAGAATCTCAATGAGACCATCTTCCTCCTCCTCAATATTATCATTATCACTAGCAGCATCATCAACAGTGGCTTCTTTTTGAGATCGATCAACCAATTGGCCTCTTGTTTTTTTCTTGAAAAATCTTACAAAGAAAACAAAAGTAGAGATGAACAAGATTACCATTGTTACTAGGAGAGAAGATAATCCATATGAGCTTAAGAAACAGAGGAAAGCTAAAAAGAAAAACAGCAAGGGCAGATGAAAAAGAAAATAGCACCAAGAAAAATGCTTTTCTTCATCAGTTTTATCCACCATTTTCATCACTCAACGGAAACTTGATTTTAAGACAAACAAAAATACAACAGAGCTAAAAAGAAGTTGAGAATGTCATGTTATCCATTGATTTATGATTAATTAATTGACTTTTGAGTTTTATCTGATTTAAATTCTTAAACCGAGTATCATTCTGAAAAGAAGATATATATTTATATTTATATATAAAATAAAGGAAGACGAATACTATTATTTCTTTGAAAAGTTTAAGACACGTCTCAGAAGAGAGAGAGAGAGAGAGAGAGAGAGAGAGAGAGAGAGAGAGAGAGAGAGAGAGAGAGAGAGAGAGAGAGATCTGGGAAAGTCAGAGGAACCAAACAAGAAAGCTCCGTTTTTTAACTCTTTAATAACTACACCTGCAACTAATTTTCTCGAGAAAAGGAAGAGCCTTGGTTTTTGCTCGTATGTTGATTTTTTTAGCTCAAGAAAAAGCTTAGGAATTTGGTAAAGACATGTGAAGCCCATTAATTTAGGATGATTAGTTTAAAACATGAATGATTATACTCTTTCTACTTTTCCAAAAGGTAATGTTTTAAAAACATTTTGTGCTTCAAAATATGAATCATTAATGTATATTGTATCTACAAAGGATTTCATACTTTAATTCAATTTTAACAACTTTATTAAAAACCATGTGACTAGTTATATTTTTATAATATATATTTTATAGTTAATTAAATTAAATTTATTTCTGTAATTAATAATTTTTTTATATAAAATAACTTTATTACTTTTAGGTTTACTTCATATATTTTAATACAAATAAATTAGTTTTTAGAAATTAATACAAAGAGAAACAAAACAAACAATAACCTTCCAACAGAAACAACTGTAACTGTAAGAAATACCATACCAACTCTACGTGGTTATATCTAATTATTGATTTTCAATTTCAAACCAGTTAGCACTTAGCAGCAAATAAAGTGACACATGTTTTTGTACATTATTATCAAACTAAAATTCCCAAAAACACACACACACACATATATATATATATATATTAATATTTAATTATTGGATTTTTAACTTTACGGTAAACTCAGTTCAAATATCTTTTAAATTGAGAATTTCATAATTAAATACAAATATTTATATAATATATATACATTTAGAAAAATTCACGTTGAGAATTCCTCATTGAAAGTGCTATGAGATTTTTAATCATCTATTTAAAGTCGAAATACAATTATAGATTTTGAGAGGTCAAAATATGTAGAAAAAAATACGAGACCAGGTTTGATTGAACTATAGACTAAATGAAAATATGGTTTAACTTTGTCTAGAAGTTACCCCTTCATAAGTCGGTCGATTTTTGGTGGGTTTGATTCATGTAGGTGGCTACAAGTATTCAACACATGATATGATGATTTTTCATTCTCTATATGTTTAAACTTCAACAAGTCAGGGAGTTAGCACTTTATCTTTTCCGAACTTACTTTTGTCTCATTCATCAACTTTTTTGGGTTGAAAATACCTCATTACGGTTGTTTCAATTGCAATCATGCTGAGGTAACAACCTATTAAACTTTAAAAGTATGGATACTAGTAACAACCTATTAAAAGTATGGATTCTTTTGAGTATGTCAGTCACAACCTATTAAAAGTATGGATACTAGTAATTATATCATGCCGTCTACGACTTCTATAAAGTATTAAAAATGACGTGAAGATATACGTGCATAAGTAACTAAAATAGAATCCATGAATGTGCCAAAATAAATTTCAACATCTTAGGTTAGGTTGTAACTGGTTATTTTTACAACGAATATTCTGAATAAAGGGAATAATTATTTGTGGAATAAAAAAATGAAATGATGAATAAATGAAACTGAAATTGTTAGTGGAATAGTGAGTTACATTCTCAAAATCTATAATGTGATTTTTTTTTAAATTCTAAAAATACATTTTGTGAAACTGTTTTAAAATTTTTTATTGTAATAATTTTGCCTCGTCATATGTGGAATATATAATATAGGAAAAATTCCATAAAAATATCCAACTTAATTTCATTAAACATTTTAATACCTAAACTTTTTTGCTACCCATTTTAATATCCGAACTAATTTTTTTGTCCTTTTTAATACACAAATTTTTCTTTTACATTTTGAATATTTGATCAATTACAGAAGATAACAAAAAGTAACTGCTGAAATGGCGATCTCGGCGAATCTTAGATCGCGATGTTGATTCGGTTTGTTCTAAAGATTGTTCCCATCGGTGTATCTGGTATTGATGAAGACTCTTTCCACAGTGGTTCTGGTTATGCATTGGGAGAATTTCAGTTGGTTTTGAGTCGGATTGGTGAAGGTTCTGATATCGGTTTGGATTTGAAAAGGAATCCACTGGTCAGATCTGAAGAAGATTTATGGAAGCGTAAGGGGCTTAACAAGATATGCTTCGAGATTTTTCAGGATTCTAATGTGTTTTTTTTAACTCTAAAAAATACATTATGTAAAACTGTTTTAAATTTTTATTGTAATAATTTTACCTCGTCATATGTGGAATATATAATATAGGGAAAATTTCATAAAAATATCCAACTTAATTCCATTAAACATTTTAATACCTAAACTTTTTTGCTACCTAGTTTAATATCCAAATTATTTTTTTTGTCCATTTTAATACACAAACTTTTTTTTTTTTACATTTTGAATATTTGATCAATTACAGAAGAGAATAAAAAGTAACGGCTGAAATGGCGATCTCGGCGAATCCAAGAACACGATGTTGATTCGGTTTTTTCTAAAGATTGTTCCCATCGGTGTATCTGGTATTGATGAGGCTCTTTCCACAGTGGTTCTGGTTATGGATTGGGAGAATTTTGACTGGTTTTGATTCGGATTGGTGAAAGTTCTGCTATCGGTATAAATTTGAAAAGGAATCCACCGGTTAGATCTGATGAAGATTTATGGAAGCGCAAGGGGATTAACAAGATATGCTTGGAGATTTCTCAGGATTCTATGAGATTTTTTTGCCTCAGACTATTAATACGTTATGTTTTTATTTTTCGTTGGGTTTTAAATGGTGAGTTTTTTTTTTCTGGAATCGGGGGATCTAATTTCCTATTTCGGGCAAGGAGGGAAAAGAGATTGGATATATATTTTTGAGCTAATTGAGGGAATCATCTGCTTGGAGAGATTAAATCAAAGATTGCAGGGGAATATGATTGAGGATTCGTAGTATTTCCAACGTTTGGTTTGCTCTTTATGATTTTGCATCATGGGCCAAATCCGGCTAATAATGCTAGTTTTTTGGGTTTCTCCTATATACTGTTTGCTTTACGAGTAGAAGATTCACATCACCACAAACTTGCTTTCTTAGTATCCTTCCGGTTCTTATTCAATTTCCCTTTTTGTGTATAATTCGGAGTGTAGTGCAAGATACTCTCAAACATTCATAGGTCGGTGAATGAACCCACAAAATCAAGACATGAAGATCCTCCTCTTTCTGCTTCCTAGGATCTGGAACGTGGGGCGGGGGAGGGGGGGGAGAAGGGTGAGGCATCAAGGCCAATTTTGCGGGTTACGGTCCCTCAGTTTGATAATTCGGAGCGTATTGCAAGATACTCTCAAACATTCATAGGTCGGTGTATGAACCCGCAAAAGCAAGACATGAAGATCCTCCTCTTTCTGCTTCCTAGGATCTGGAACGTGGAAGGACGTGTGGCTGGTACTGATCTCGGGTTGGGAAGGTTTAAATTTGATTTTGATTTGGAGGAAGACATTGTTGCAGTCTTGAAGATGGAGCCTTTCCACTTCGATTACTGGATGGTGTCCTTGGTGAGATGGAAGCCAGTGTTGGAACCAAACTATCTGTCAAAAATTACCTTTTGGGTTCGAGTGATGGATATACCTTTGCATTTCTGGGACGCTCAGACTTTCTGTAGCGTGGGTGATGCTTTAGGTCAGGTCTTTGGTTAGGTTGATCTTATTGAAGGACGTGTTTGGGTTGAAGGTGATGGCTTTAAGCCTCTAGTATTTTCCATGGCTGTGGAATTTGAAGAAGGAGTTGAGTTCATGGTGGCTCTTAGGTATGAAAAAATCTTTGGGTTTTGCAAAGAGTGCTTTAGCCTAACACATGATCAGTCTCAGTGTCCATCTTTGGCTAAGGAGGTGTGTTTAAATGATGCTGGTTAGGGGACTTCTGAGGGTGATCTACAGGCCACAAGTTTCAAAGTTGCGGTGACCAATGGAGGTAATGCTAATGGTCGACGCAGAGAGGACCAACAAAACCGCTCTCATGTGGTCAGAGAGGGGGATAAGGGCAAAGGTATTGCTCAAGAGAAACAAAGGGCATATAGACAAGAGGGATCTTACCATCCTTATAAGGTGAAGGGTCCAAGAGAGTTCAGGGAAAGATCATCGTTTAATGGAAGACAAACGGCTTATGGGAACATGAAGTATGCGGTGCACTCAAGAGGTTATCAACATCCCACAAATGGTGAAGGCAATAACTTGCTCCCGAATCCTACAAAGTTCATGTTAGATGCTTTCAAAGGTTCTCAGAGATCCTCTAAAGAATGTACGCTAAAGCCAGCATTAGTGGAGGGGAACATGTCAAACTCTAAGGCTCAGAAACAGAGCCGTGCCTGATCACAAGCTGATCAAGCATTGGGGCCAATAATATTATTAATGATTTATGGGCCATTTTAACAAGAAACATTGTTAGTTCAGTGGTTTAATAGGCAGGTTTATTTGTCTAGGTCATGGTTTCAAACCCAGCTTTATACAATTTTTGGGGCCAAATTTTTTTACTGCTTCTAACCTTATAAAAGGACTTTATTGATAACATTTTAGGATAAGATAGATTTGTGTCTAAAGGACTTTATTAAGACATAAACTAAAGAGATAAAACATAGCTCAAATGAGCTTTATTATGCAAGAAATTATTGGTGTGCAATTCTGATGATCCAAGTCGTCCATTGTCTCTTGGCAAGAAGTGGAGTTCACTCTTGCATCATTCCTCACCAGCCGGATCAAAGAAGCTATCATGAACTCATTGCAGCCTTGTAAGCTTGGACCTTCACCTATTCTCGGTTCCAAGCTTGAGGGGGAGCGTGAATGAGCTTCTTATGATCTGAGAGAANTATTGGTGTGCAATTCTGATGATCCAAGTCGTCCATTGTCTCTTGGCAAGAAGTGGAGTTCACTCTTGCATCATTCCTCACCAGCCGGATCAAAGAAGCTATCATGAACTCATTGCAGCCTTGTAAGCTTGGACCTTCACCTATTCTCGGTTCCAAGCTTGAGGGGGAGCGTGAATGAGCTTCTTATGATCTGAGAGAAGTGTTACCAAGTGGAGATTCAAATGGAGTTCACTCCCCACCATACTGATGAAAGGGAAGCACCTTAAACTCATCTCAATATATTCATTATTGTTCTTATACTTAAAATGTTATTGAGCTTGATGTGATGAGTGCATTTCCTTAAGAACTGATGCACCTTTGGAATAATGTATCAGGTACCATACTAGGAGCTCTCTGAAGTAGAATCTAGTGGTCTCTCAAGGTCCCTGAATATGGCGAGTAGTCAGAAGAGAGGGGGAGACACAGCCGGCCTTAAAGAAGAGTTCTGAGATGTTGGTGTGTGCAAGTGATGGATTCCATACTTGCACCACAAGTTAGGCCACGATCCAGAGCCTAAGGACTCCACCATGATAAATCTGAAGTTCCTTAGGCTCACTGGCCAATCCCTAGGCTTTGGAGAACTCTACTCTTTTCCTTGGTTGGTTTTATCCCTAAGGAGGGTTTTCTGGCCAAGGTTTTTAATGAGGGAGATTCTTCAAGGTTCCAAGCTTGCACAAGGATCTCCTATGGTCAAGCTTGAGGGGGAGTGTTGAAATGAAGAAGAGAATAACCAGAGGATATGAATTAGTCCATTATGAAGACAAGTATATCAAGAGAAATGATTTGGGCTTAGTTGTGCAGTCTTGCTCCACAAGCTAACATCTTGACCTAACTCACCTTGCAAGGCAAGAATGGACTTGTGGAGAATTAATATGGACGTTGGGAAGGTCTGAGAAGGCAAGGAAACATGTTTGAATTTAAATAAAAGAGGCTGGTTTGAATTAGACAAGAAAAAGTCACATGGGTTGCTTTGGAGAAGCAAGTGGCCTGTCACTTTCACTCAAGCAAGCTGTGCCAACCTCTCTCAGCTGTCCCTTTCTCCTCATCTGGTCGTGCCTCCCCTTTTCTATATCCTCCTGGCCTCTTCCATTTCCCCATTATATTATTTGTTTAACCATTCCCTGTTTTAATAGTTGTTTAATGTGCTTGTTTGTCTTGTACCTTTGGCTATAAAGCCACACCTTATGTATCACGAAATATTCAAGCTGAAAGTGGGGAGTTCCCCTTTCTTCTTCACCATTTTCTGGTCTCATTATTCTCTCTATTCTCTGGTTACACGAATTCTCTTATACTCCTCCTAAATCTCTCTTATTCTCCATTGCATTCTCTTAGATTCTCACATACTCTCTTACTTCTTTTCTCTTTAATTTCGACCACACTCTGTCTAAACACCACTCACACACCCTAATCTGTCTATTCTCACANTTTCTTCTTCACCATTTTCTGGTCTCATTATTCTCTCTATTCTCTGGTTACACGAATTCTCTTATACTCCTCCTAAATCTCTCTTATTCTCCATTGCATTCTCTTAGATTCTCACATACTCTCTTACTTCTTTTCTCTTTAATTTCGACCACACTCTGTCTAAACACCACTCACACACCCTAATCTGTCTATTCTCACATGGTATCAGAGCTCCCAAGCTCCTGAAACTCAAAGCTTCCGCAAATAAAACACAAGCTCACCCTCTTTGTTGTTTCAAACCATTGGAGAAGTTTCTGTCTAGTTGGCTTTTCAGTCTCTTCAAGAGGAAGAAGACTGCAACAATGGCGTGTACAGAGACTCTCCAGTGTCTATCCTCGTGCTTCTTGTCCATCCTGAAGAGATCTCTTGGAAGCAAAATGTTTTGGGGCTGTTTTGCAAGCAAAACTCCAAAACAGCTTTATTCAAATTATTCTCTTTCATTGTCCAAGAAGAAAGCTTTCAAGAAGAATGCAACCATGGCGTGTACAGAGACTTCCCAAGGTCTATCATCCTTCCTCCTTCTCAGCATGAAGAGATCTCTTGAAGAAAGAAAGTTTTGGATTTGTTTGGCAAGCAAAACTCCAAACAAAATCTGTACAAGCAATTCTGATGTTCTTTTCAAGATGGAGTCTCTCACTAACTTCCAGAAGGTGGCGTCTGGTAAACAGGAAGAAAGGAGAGGTCTTAAGCATGAGAGGTTCAAAGGGAAAGCACACACAAGAAAATGGAGTTGGGTAGAGAACCCAAACTCCAAATCTGTCAAGTTCAAGTGAATTGTGTGCCTTGGAGGTTCAAGGAACAAGCTCAGGTTCCTTGGTTGTAAGTTAACCTCCAAACCCTTAATAAGGCTTGTGTAGTTATGTCTGGTTGTGTTGAGTGGTGTGTTTGGTATACTTGGGACAGGTTCAAGTTGCTAGAGTTGTTGAACCTAGTTTCTGTCCCATGATACATAGGAGTTGTGTGTTGTTTTGTTTTAAATTTTTTTCTAAGTTTGCTAGCATGGTTATGACTAGTTCATGTCTTGGATTAATTTATTTGTGTTGTGTATGGTCTAGGCGAATTTTTTAGAACCTGTTGTGTGTCTTGTTGCATTGGTAGAGGTCTAGGAGAGTCTCCTGATCTTGTAATGCATTTAAAAATTAAGTCTGATCTTGGTCTGCATCCATATGTTGTTCCTGGTCCTGTGATGCATTCATGAATTGTTTAAATTGATTAGATGAGTTATCTAGTCTCTGGTTTTGTCATTTAAGCTTGTTAGTGTTTAAATGATAATAAAAATAGCCTAGATGCCCTGTGATTGATGAGTTATCATACATGCGCATTTAGAGAGTTGGTTGCTTGGATTTGAACTGAATGAGTTGTTTAGATTCAGTCCATTGCATCTTGTTTAACATGATGGATCAGACTTAATGAGTTATCAAGGTCTGGTCCTAATGTGTGGTCTAATTCTTGCTGGAGTTTGAGTGATGTTTCAGGTACACAAGAGGTGCTCTCTGTCCATCACCAATCCAAGACAAAGAAGATGACATTGCCCATGAAGTTCAGAGCCTACACATGATGTATATTCCTGACCATGGAGAGATAGCTTGTGTGTAGAACCGGTTGAATT